TTAAGTAGATTCACGAAAGCTGCGCAGTTAAGTGAAAAGTCCTGAAAAGATTCCATCTCATCATCCTCGAAACAACTGCGGCTGTTAGTATCAAGTGCGATATTAGTTTACCGCAGTGAACTGTCAGCACCACCTATAGAAGGTAAAACTGTGGCTTTACAAGCTTCAGGCGCTCCATGGACCCCTCCAAATTTACTAGCCTGGACCAGCAAGACCTTGCAATTGCTCGTGGTTTACACATCACCCAACTTTCGCTGAGCTGGCGTGGGCTCTACCTGTAGAAGAGGGAACCTCCGGTGATCCGTGGCACCCACCCGCTCCCTGCCCGATGATGTAAATTCAAGAAAACACTTTATTTCCAACTCGTTACCCATTAAATATCACTTACTGTCTGGTACCCATTTACATAAGTCTAACTAGAAAGTACTCCGACGCTATTAAGAGGTAGATCAGGCACTACCAGACCATCAATGAGCTTATCGTCCTCATTTCCACTTAGCTCTTGCTTGTAGTGGCAATCACTTCTACCAGAAAAACGCTACAGCAGTCTAGAAACCTCTACTTAATGTTGATAGAGAGCACATGATAGAAGACTTTATCATAAATGTATCCATGAAACGCAACGGATTCGTGAAAGAGTTTACTATTCTTCTCGCAACAAATATTCATCCCTAGAAGGAATTTAATGTGTGTTCAAAAAAAGTAGCTTGGCGCCATTTCGGAGATTTAGTGATCCTTTTGCCGTCTCTTACCAAAAGCTCGCCTAGAACTATGTAGCGCAGCTTTCTTCACTCTGTCCTCAATGTTAATTTCTACGACAGATACATATGTATATCTGCGGGCTATCTAGGAATATACCCCAGTAATTGATACTGTCGCAAAGCAGCAGGCGAACCACACGATTCTAGCCGAGGGAGTAGGAGCAGTTTTGTCTTACTAGGTTTAACGAAGACCCCGCTGTTAGTCTCCAATTGGGTGCCAAAATCTTCCTCAAGTTCCCTTCTTCTCTAGCTCCTGCAAGTTGGGCGTGACCACTAGTCTGAGCCGATGTAAAAGTACCCACCTTGCGGTGTACCTCTGTTCCCTCTATGCTGTAAGCAGACGCTGTCGTACTCAGGCATGACAGTTCTGTTGTGGGACAAGTTGCAGATAAACCGAACTTATATAGTTCCTTCCGGTATCCACTTCACAATTTTATGCAGGACGGTCTCCACTGATTTTCCTATATTGTAAGTATCTCCAACTACAGTTAGACGATTTTGAGGAGTACCGAAAGGTAAACAGACTTACTGGCTTCGGAATAAACATCACCATGACGATCCTCCAAGCTCTGTCTAACGTGAGATTTATCAAAATTATATCGATATTTTAATCAATATTTTTATAAATATTCTTATTTATCAGCCCTTGAATGCTAACAAATCATACTTTTTTTCGAGATAGTAGGTCCAGTGTGTTACCATAGTTTGATACGGTTCAATTATCCTCCCTGGATATCAAGAAAAAGATTTGAAAAAAAAAATCTAAAGCTTAAAACTAAAGGCTGCATATCATTAGTGCTACCAGCTACCAGTAGCTCAACTCCCAAATGCCCAATGGAAATGCCCAAAAAACGTCTTCCATATTCACATACATAATTCCATTCACCCTAAAGCGCCAACAAAGAACTCTTAATGTTTAAATTACAACATAAAACCAAGCAGCAGTTTTAGTTATTCTGGTTATTTTTATGTTTTGTAGTTTTATGCGCAAGTTGTGTGCTGTATGTTACTGTCTAAAAAAAAAAAAAAAATTGTACATAAATATTCGGCCGCAGCCGGTTTATGCAAGCCGCTCTACTTAAAGTGACACAGCTCTCTCTTTATCTCTCACCCATTCGTAATTTTTCCTGCGCATGCGCAAAGTTACATTTACGTGGCCCCTACTTCACTCTACTTATGTGGCTCTCTTAACACTCTTCCTTTTGGTTTTTTAGTTAATTTTTTTTTTTATAATTTTGACTACGTTTATGCTGCTGCTTTATAAATTTATATTGCCCCTTAGCTGCTGCTTTTATTATTTATGTATGTTTGTTTGTTGCTTTTCGTGGAAGCGACTGAGCATCGTTTGTTGGCTGTTAACCATTTAGCTGCTGGTGTTGCTTAATTTCTCGATTCTTTTTTTTTTTTTTGTAACTTTATATATTTTTCTCATATTCCTTTTCATGTGGTTAAACATAAGTAGTTTTATTGTTATTGTTTTAGTTATAATAGCAAATCCATCAGTCGGTTTAATGACTCTAAGTTGGTTGCTTAGTAGCTTGTGAAAGGCATTTAGTGCTTACTCGAGTTCTGTCCGTGTTCCTAATTGAAAAAATTGGTGTCCGTACATATGTACTTATATGTATACAAATGTGTATTAAGGTTTCGAATACTTATATAGGTAAATATATTTAGGTAAATAATATGGGTGTAGTTATGTATGTGTTTGTAGTTATTGCCTTATCGTATGTAGTTTTAGAAACCTCTGCTAGTTGTGTCTTTCGAAAACTTTTTTTATAATCCATCAAATGGCCTTGCGATTATCTGATCTTACCATCAAAGACTTTGGCTGCACGCAATCAAAAAAGTAAGAAGATTATAAGAACTTTTGGAACAGTAAGATTAGGTTTAAAACGGAACTAGAATTATGGAGCAATTTTTACAGCGTAGTTGTTGTCTATATAAGGGTTAGCAAACATTTTACTAAAAAAAAAGTTTTATTCATTATGTCAAAAATAAAAGCGAAGCGGATATTTTTTTGACATAAAGTAAATACATAGGCTTAAATGTACCTACTAAAGAAACTGAAGTTGTCCCGAAAAGGTTCAAAATAAGACATAAAAGGTCACGAAAAATCCCAATAAAAGCGAAAAAATTGCGAAGCCCCAAAAAAGTCCCAGGAAAATCCTGAAAAAAGATTTGGAAATCTTCTCGATAATCAAATATGTGCACTATATTTTTCATTGCCGTTTTCGATATACATATATATTTATTTATCGACGTAAATACTTCTGTAGTATATATTACTACTATTTTATTTTCAATTAGTCTTACAGATATTTTTATCGGCATCATTACTGTTGTATTTTATAAATGTTGATATCGATTTCTTTGTCATTATTTTTACCGACATTTTTACGGTTGTTGTTATCGCTGCATTTTCGATTCTATTATCCGAAGTTCCCGAAATACTTCCAAAAAACATACAAGCAAATATTTGTCGTTATCCGTACCGATATATTTATCGTTATCGTTATATTGTTATCGATTTATTTTTCAATACTTCTAATTATTTTTATTTTTATTTTTATTGATACCGTTACCGATAACTGTACAAGCATATGTAGCCAACGTAATTTAACGACAACTGTCTGTTTATCGATATACATATTTATTGATATCGATTTTATTAAGATATCAAAATTGATCTTCACTAATGTAGCCATCATTTTTATGATTTCGATATCAAAATGCTCGCATTCACATAACTTTATCGATAAAAAACAACAGCCTATTGCCCTTCGTAAAGGGCTTTCAGTGCAATCGATTTCTTACATAAAGATACAATTTTATCCTATCGAAATAAAAAATTTTCTAAAGCAAAAATCTCTTGGCCACAATTTGCCGACAAAACTGCGGTTATGTGTAAGAATTCAGAAAATAAAATTCAATTAAGCAATATTACAGAGTTCACTTCCTTAAATCATCTAAAGTTCCAAAATTTTACATTTACATATGTATATTTACTCCAAACACTTACCTACAATACATTTTGGCTCACTGCCACCTGCAAATTTTTCATGAAGTATTTATATATGTATGTATGCGCATAGCTAAGAACTTTAAGCCAGTTGTTTACCAAACACGCTGGCGTCTGAGTGAAATAACCACTAAAGAACTGCGCTAAGTTAGCTAACACTGCTTATGGTGCGGTGCTGCTGCTTGTAGTGGTGGTGACGTAGTAGCCATCGCCGCCGACAGCGTCGTCGTCGCCAACAAACGGAGCGTGAATGCGGTAGCTTATGACGCATTCACTTACCAACTTTGCGCGTTTGCTCGTTTGCTGCTTAACTATTTTGGCTAAGTATTCAAGTGGTGGACTGCATGCGGCGAACTGTGCCGCCCGTTTGCATGCGGTGCGAAACGCTTACCGGGAGTCACTCGCCGCCTCTTTTTTTTTTGCGGCGCACGTTGCTATTACTTGGCTAAACTGGTTGTGTGCTGGCTGGCTGTGCTTGTTGACTTGCTCGGGCGCTTTCTAGGCATTCAACAATTTCCGACTAACTAGCTGGCTGAGTGCCGATGGCGAGCGTGTGTGTGCGCTCTTAAACTTAGTACACCGCTTTTTTTTTTGTTTTGAATCCATGTAAATAAATAAAATATTAAATTATATACTAAATTTGTGCAGTCGCCCCTACCTTTATGGCTGGCGCCGCTTACAACCGCTTACGTCTTACGTTGCTCTATGACGTAGGAGTGCCCCTGTAAGAGCTGAACGTGTAGAAATATTAGTTTAGATATTTACTTTATTTGCAAAAAAAAACAAGATAGTCAAGCGGGCTAGCGACTGTCGCTGCGCAAGTGTTGTTGTTGTCTATTGTGCTTACCCTGCACCACCTTATATGGTCATATGTTCGTCTAACAGCAAGCTGATCTTAGACTTGAGCGACTCTTTTTTTTTTGACTGTAGTCACACCAAATATAGCATTTTCTGGTATTGTTTTTTTTTAAGTGTATGTACATAAGTATGCATCTCAACATCTCAAAAATTTTGTGTCTCAAAGATGTTTTCTGTATTTATAAGTACATTTTCTGGCGTTAGGATGCATAGCATTTGTTTGTAAAAAAATATTTTCATGCATTAAATCATAAAAAAAAAATCTTAGACCAGCTGTGACGTATTTAAGTCAATTTTCGTTATACTTAAGTATGTACATATGTTGTAATAATGAATTTTATTTCTTGTTTCTATTTTTCCAGTTTGTATTGGCACCAAGTCGCGCTTGTCAGTGCCTTCGAATCGTGAACATCACTATCGTAATTTACGTGATCGCTACAACAATTGCACTTATGTTGATGGTAATTTAGAGTTGACCTGGTTGCAAGAACCCGATATGGATCTCAGCTTTTTGGAAAATATTCGCGAAGTAACCGGCTACATACTGATCAGTCATGTGGACATACAAAGTGTGGTATTCCCAAGGTGAGTGAATAGACTAACATTACGAATACGAAGACTGGAAAAATTTTGGCAAAAAACAAAGTGTGTAAATTAGAACGAATTGATCAGCGAAACGATTAGACAACTAAAAATAGCATTTACATATTTCAATTTTTACTCTTATAGCCAATTTCACTAAAGCAATTTAAGTGAAGAATGATTTTTTATGTGAATTTAATATGGAAACTGACAGCAAAAAAATATTAGGGGTATTCTCTAAGTCTTGCAAAGCCCTTGCACGGTGCACAGATTGCACGGATTGCACGATAAAAACGGGTTTTCGTATGGGACAGCTTTGCAAACCGTGCAATCCGTGCACCTTGCAAGGGCTTTGCAAGACTCAGAGAATACCCCAATTATATATATTTAAAAATTTTTTTTTTTTAACAGCCAGGTCGATGACATTTGCTAAAAAAAAAGTTGTTTGCACTGATGGTTAGGATTAGACAGATTAGGATAGAAGAGGGGTTGGGTACAGAACACTACGACTTAGATAAGCGCCTAACCCTGATAGTCAAAGCTGCTATAGCCTTGCCTCATAAATGCTAACAGTACATTGGTAGTCTAGCTCCTAATAGAGATGGCATTTTGTCTCCTTAGTTAGGCCAATATGGTGCATGTGAGAGCGCAAATGGTTACGAATGGTTAGATATCCTGGACACAACCTGATTTCGGCTCGGTTCCATAGTTTGATGCTAAAGAGCGTGCGCTGTTAAGGCTCTCTACCGCTCGCCAGTCCTTACTGTGTTCTAAGTTTACCCACTCGGTAATTGCAAGACTCGAAAGAGCAGCTGAGTCCTAAAAATGATTCCGGCTGCACAAGGACTTATGATGAGCTTTCTTCAATCGTCAGTTCATCGGCGACCATGCTTTCTTCGAATCCGCGGTGAACTGGTAGGCACCGGAGTTCCCGCTGCCTTGAGGATTATGAAAAGAGTCCTAGACAAGCCTTTCAGAAATAATTATTTTACATATATGTAGCTCTGACTGCCGTTTGGATGTCCAAACAGACTTTAAGACCTTTTTTATTTAACCTGGCGCAGGTCGAGATTACTGCTTGAAAGACCTTAGATCGCCAGCTTATGGCAATAGAATATCAAGAGCCGTGTCTGTAAACACCCGAATTTGCTTGGTCTTCCAACCTCTATCTACATGTCTGGGAGTTAGCCAAAAAAGGCAACCGTCATATTTTCCTTTTATTGTTGATGCTTCCAACGGGATAAGTTTTTCGTTCGAAAGGAAAATTAAATTAATTAAAGATGGCACAACTCTGAAACCGGTTGGTCTCCAAACCAAAATTGATAAACGACGACGAAAATTCGTTCCAAAATTCAACAACCGTGATAACTTTAACCCGTCTTTTTCGTTCAGTTCCTCAATTGGCCACCGCCTCCAAAGTGCAGGAGATTTACAGAGCAGGTGCGTGATGGTTTCAGGCTCTTCTTTGGTTTTGTAGCTTCTACAGAAGCCATTGCACGGGACACCTAGCCTCTCGGCCTTCTTTTCCATAATTAGATGACCTCACACAATTACATGACCCGGCATACCATCAGGCTTAGTGATCTGCAACAAATTAACACCAGCTTCTGAGTTGCTTTTGATATATATATTACAAAGCTTTCAAAGCTGACGGAATGGCTGTTGTATTCCTAGTTGTTCTCTGTAGAACCAATTATAACCGATAGGTTTTAGAACATCCTATATTTACAAGATCTGACTACTTATACCTCAGAGTCGAGAGCAAGAGATCAAGCAGACGGGTACTCGTTCAATTACGGAGATCCGCAACCATACCCCGAAAAAGGCAAGGAGGATATTATCACGACCCTCTCCCTTCCTACAAAAAAAAATATTCCATTAAACCTATAAAGCCCTTAAATCTGCTCTGAAAGATGCCATAAAACCGGCAAAACCGAGATCTGAACCAATGTAACCTCGAGTACGAAAGGGTTGCTACCAAACTAATGGGCCAATGACCTCATAACCACCCTTTGATGAGTTTTCATCTCGGCAAAGCAGGTGAGAACAATGAAGCATCAGAGATCTCTCAGGTCGAAATTTTTCCGCATATGGACAAGCCAGGGATTCTTCAGAAACTTTTTGGAGGAATTTACAGAAATGCTGAGTAGCCTTAGAAAAACTAACAAAAGATATGTTAAGCAATAGCTATAAAATAGTTCCCACATAAATAACTTAATAATTTTAAACTTAATTTTTTTTTCAGACTACAAATCATTCGCGGCCGCACCTTGTTCAATCTCAACGTTCAAGAACAGCAATTTGCTCTATTCACTGCCTACTCGAAAATGTTTACACTCGAAATGCCTGCACTTAGGGATATACTTCAGGGATCTGTGGGTTTCTTCAACAATTTCAATTTGTGTCACATCAAATCAATCGACTGGAAAGAGATCATTTCTGGTAAGTAGCCACACATTATAATCTGGGTCATTTTAGCTTCACACACTCACTCACCTTTTCACTTTCTTCCCACCAGGTCCCGACGATCAATTCACTTACGTCTACAACTTCACACCGCCGGAGCGTCAGTGCCCGAAGTGTCATGAGAGCTGTGAGCGCGGCTGTTGGGGTGAAGGTCCGCAAAATTGCCAGAAGTTCAGCAAAATCAACTGTTCGCCTCAATGCGCGCAAGGTCGCTGCTTCGGTTCACGTCCACGCGAGTGCTGCCATCTCTTCTGCGCCGGCGGTTGCACTGGGCCAACACAGCGCGAATGCATCGCTTGCAAAAATTTCTACGATGATGGTGTTTGCAAGGAAGAATGTCCACCCATGCAAAAATATAATCCAACAAATTATTTGTGGGAAGTCAATCCAGAGGGGAAGTATGCTTATGGCGCCACCTGTGTGAAAGAATGCCCCGAGCATTTGTTAAAAGATAATGGTGCTTGCGTACGTAGTTGCCCGGTAGAAAAGATGGCTAAAGACGGCGAGTGTGTGCCATGTAATGGCCCATGCCCCAAGACATGTCCAGGCACACCGGCGCTGCACTCGGGTAATATCGACTCGTATAAGGGCTGCACGGTGATTGAGGGCTCTATACGCGTGTTGGATCAGACGTTTTCCGGTTATCAGCATATTTACTCAAACAATTCGTTTGGGCCACGTTTCATTTCTATGCATCCCGATCGGTTGGAGGTATTCTCCACTGTGAAAGAAATCACCGGTTACTTGGATATCGAAGGCGCACATCCGGCATTTAAGAATCTATCCTACTTCCGCAACTTAGAGGTCATACACGGACGTCAGCTGATGGAGAGTTACTTTGCTTCGTTATCGATTGTACGGTCGTCGCTGGAAAGTTTGGAGCTGCGCAATCTGAAGCGCATCAACTCCGGTGCGGTGGTAATACAACAGAATGATGACATTTGTTTTGTGAGCGATATCGACTGGCAGAAGGTGCAAAAGTCGGTGGACCATGGAGTGGTGATTGCAAAGAACCGCAACGAAACCTCATGTAGTAAGTATACTAAGCTGTTGAAAGCGGAAGCACATATTTACTAAAAAACCACCCGAAGCTTACCAATTCTATAAAATTTTTTAATTTTTACCCCATCTAACGCCCACTTTTTCTTCACACAGAAAACGATGGCCTTGTTTGCTCGGACCAGTGCAACAAGTCTGGCTGCTGGGGTAAGGGCACGGATCAATGTCTGGAATGTAAAAACTTTGGCTTCAATGGCACCTGCATCGCGGATTGCCGTAATATATCAAAGTAAGTCGCGTGTTCACGCACGGCTGTCTCACAATTGCATTACTAAATTTGTCCCTCCACTTTCCTTCCAGCGCCTACCAATTTGACAACAAGACCTGCAAGGAATGCCACCCCGAGTGCCTTACCTGCTCTGGCCCTGGTGCCGACCACTGCGACGAGTGTGTGCACGTGCGCGATGAGAAACGCTGCGTTACCGTTTGTCCGGACAACAAATACTCCGACTATGGCATCTGTCGTCTGTGTCATGAGACATGCGAAGGCTGCACTGGCCCCAGGGACACAATAGGACCTGGCGGTTGCAAGTCGTGCAATCTCGCTATCATAAACAGCGACACCACTGTCGAGCGTTGCTTGTTGAAAAACGATAAGTGTCCCGATGGCTATTACTGGGAGTATGTGAATCCGCAAGAGCAAGGCAATCTGAAACCGTTGGCTGGCAAAGCTATCTGCCGCAAATGTCATCCACGCTGTGAGCTCTGTAATGGCTATGGCTTTCATGAGCAAGTCTGTTCGAAGTGTGCTGGCTACAAGCGCGGCGAGCAATGTGAAGATGAATGCCCGCCCGATCATTATGCGGATGAGGCGCGTCGTGAGTGTTTTGAATGCCATCCGGAGTGTAAGGGCTGTACGGGGCCAAGCGCCGAGGATTGCCTCGCGTGTCGCAGCTTCAAGGTGTTCGGCCTCGGTGATCCCAACGACAATACGACAATATTCAACTGCACTTCCAAGTGCCCCACTGACTACCCGTACGTTATTTACCAGTCCACCGATATTGGCACCTACTGTTCGGAAGTGCCTGGCAAGGGCACCAAACTCACCGCCGGCGTAGACAGTTATATCTTTATTATTGTCGCTTTCATTGTATTTGTGGCTATGTTCTGCATGGGCATCGTTTGCTATGTTTGTCGTCAGCGCACCAAAGCCGAGAAGGAGGCGGTGAAAATGACGCGTGTTCTCAGTGGCTGTGAGGATGCCGAACCACTGCGCCCCTCGAATATTTCACCGAATCTTTCGAAATTGCGCATCGTGAAGGATGCAGAGTTGCGCAAGGGCGGTGTGCTTGGCATGGGTGCGTTCGGCCGTGTCTTTAAGGGTGTTTGGGTGCCTGAGGGCGAAAATGTCAAGATACCCGTCGCTATTAAAGAGTTGCTCAAGGCTTCCGGCGCCGAATCGAGTGAAGAGTTTCTGCGTGAGGCATACATCATGGCTTCGGTGGAGCATCCGAATCTGCTGAAATTGCTAGCCGTCTGTATGACTTCGCAAATGATGCTGATCACACAACTAATGCCGCTCGGCTGCCTGCTCGACTATGTGCGAAATAATCGGGACAAAATTGGCTCAAAAGCGCTGCTGAATTGGTCAACACAAATCGCAAAGGGAATGTCGTATTTGGAGGAGAAACGTTTGGTACATCGGGATCTGGCAGCGCGCAATGTGCTCGTGCAAACACCTTCTATTGTAAAGATCACCGATTTTGGCTTGGCTAAACTGCTCAGCAGTGACTCCAACGAATATAAAGCAGCCGGCGGTAAAATGCCCATTAAGTGGCTGGCGCTGGAATGCATTAGACATCGTGTCTTTACCAGCAAGTCGGACGTGTGGGCATTTGGTGTCACAATTTGGGAACTGCTGACTTTCGGTCAACGTCCACATGAGAACATACCCGCGAAAGATATACCCGATCTCATTGAAGTTGGACTGAAATTGGAACAACCGGCCATCTGCTCGCTAGACATCTACTGCACGCTGCTCTCTTGCTGGCACTTGGACGCCGAAATGCGTCCGTCATTCAAGCAGCTGGTTAACGTTTTCTCCGAGTTTGCACGTGACCCTGGCCGGTACTTGGTCATACCGGGTGATAAGTTTACGCGTCTACCTGCCTACACGAGTCAGGACGAAAAAGATCTCATCAGAAAGTTGGCGCCCACCACAGAAGGGCCAGAAGCAATGGTGGAAGCAGAGGACTATCTGCAACCCAAGGCAGCGCCTGGACCCAGTGGTGCTGAAGACACCGATGAGGTGCCCAAGCTAAACCGATACTGCAAGGATCCGATGAATAAGAACTCATCTTCAGGCGGCGATGACGAAACCGATTCGAATGCGCGTGAGGTTGGTGTCGGCAACTTGCGACTCGACCTACCAGTCGACGAGGATGATTACCTTATGCCCACCTGCCAATCTAGCACGCCGAACGGCACTACCGGCAGCAACAACAACACCATCAAAGCCAACGGCCACCACCCCAACGGAGGTGGTGGTATGGGTATTGGCGGCGGTGGTTACATGGATCTAATCGGCGTGCCGGCCAGCGTCGATAATCCAGAATATTTGCTCAATGCGCAAGCGCTGAGTGTCAACGATGCGCCCATACCCACGCAAACGATCGGCATACCAGTAATGATGAGCCGAAATGGCGGCAGCACAGTGCGAACGAATGGTAATGGCGGCGGCGGCAGCCACCATCACCACCCCCCGCATACACCCACAACTGCAGCAGCCGTAGCGGCGGCGGCGAATACAATAGCAGCGCTCACAGCTATGCACGACATGAATATCGCAGCCATGGCAGCGGTGAATGGCAATGGCGGCTCGGAACCGACCAGCTCGGATCATGAGTACTACAATGATACGCAGCGCGAACTGCAGCCGCTGCATCGCAGCGAAACGCGCGTCTAGCAATTAGACACGGACGGAGCAAACGTCCGAGAGTCATTGTGATGCGCGAAATATGTAGCCAAAGCAAATGCGGCACGCGTCCGAAAGTAGGTGGGGAAGGAAAAGATATCGATGCAGCGATGAAGGTAGCTGGGTGGAGCGAGAAGCAGAAAAAGACTGCAATACTGCCGACGTGAACTTAACTTGCCACCAGAACTTGCAACGTGCCTCATTTACATACAACGCATACATGCATACATACATATGCGCATATGTATACCATGTAACTATGTAACTGTAAATACTAAAATTTAAGAAGAAAACACAGCAGCGAATGCAGCGAAATCGAAGCACACGAAACGAAGCAAAGCAAAGCAAAGCAAAACAAACAAACAAATAAATTAAAATAACACTAAATGCCACTAAAAGGTCACATGCGTAGCCAACTGCCGAAGGAGCTTAGGTTGCCGACCGCCAAGGCAAAAGCAGAGCAGAGCAGCGTATGGACATAGCCCAAACAAACCTACTGTTAGCATTAGCGTCCTAGATTATAACTGTATATAATGAGTAGTAGTAAAGTAGTACCTAAATTGTTGTTGTGTACTGTAGTACTTACCAGTTAAAGTGTTTAAAGAGCGCTGAGTAAAAAGCATAGAAATGGTTAGTTTTTAAAATCGGGAGCAAAACAAAAAAAAACTTGTAAATCTTTAGTAGGGACACACCAATAGTGCATTTGACTTGAACGAAGATTGGGAGCGCAATGGTAAGCAATTATGGACTTTGTTAAGAGGAGCAAATTGTATGTATAAAAGTGGAATGCCTTAACGCCTCCTGATCTTCAAGCAAATTAGTGTTTAGCTTAGTTTTAGACAGTTTTAGCTACTTACTTATTTAATATTTGCAAATTATAAAATTTTAATTTTTTTAGCTCTATTTTTAATTTTGTTAATTACGAACTGTGATAACGTAAAATGTAAGTACGAATACGAAAAAAAAATCAAATAAAAACAAAAGCAACAAAAATGTAAAACAATGAACAAAATGAACAAAAACTAAACAAAAATCAAGCAAAATCTTAAAAACTACTAAAGTAAAAATTTTTTAAAAATTTCTACATAAAAATTTTGTATGGCACACACCTTTATTTTGTTCTACATATCTACCAAATAAAGACAAACACGAAAAATTCAACAGTTCAAAAAAAAATTTTGAGTGGCCGCTAGCAGGGTTTGAATTTTTTTTTATTTAAATCGCAAAAATACGATAAAATTTTGAATTAAAATCTGATAAACATGTTTTTGAAAAATGTTCATATAGATTCATAAACTCCCTCAGTTATAGCTGACTAAAGTTAATATTTTGGCAAATTTTTGCGATTTAGAAAAATAAATTTTTTCCACCCTGGTTGCGATCCCTATTTTTTTAACTTTTAAAATGTCGTGAACGCCATTAGTTTTGCGTAGAACAAAATGAAGGCATGCGCCATGATGTTAATATTTTAAGGACCAGCGTAATATACATATTTTAAAATAATAGTGATCATGCGACTTTTTTCGAAAATTTTTAAAACTTTAAAAATATAGTAATACTTATTAAAACAATTGGAACTGCCTTCTGACATGCGTGTCTTAAAATTAACTATATTTTTTCGAAATTTTAAATTTGCAAATTAAAACACGTGCAACAGAATAATTTATTTTATTGATTAAATTATAGTTTGGCGATGTAACGCCGTTGTGTTTTTTTTTAACAAGTTCATTGAACATGTTCTAAAAAAATTAGCTACAAACTAACTGCATACATATTTCATTTTTACAGTTTGGATAAGAAGTTGACTTTGAGAGAGGCGCTTGGTGTTGCAGGATTTTTTGTTGTGAAAGGTGGTACCTTGGGGAAATCTAAATTTTTTCCTTTCAGTTCTGGCTAAATTTTTAAACTGTTTTGGTTTTTGGTATTTTTTTCTGCTGGATATAAAAAACAAGCATTAACAATGCTCCACGAATTTCTTTGGTTTTCAATAATTTTGAAAAGTTAAACATTAAAAAAAAAAAAGATAAAGTGGTCTAAACTACATTTTTTCCAGAAATTGTTTTTGTGAAAATAAAATGTTACTGGTTACAATTTTAAAATTTTAAGAAAAAATTTTCGAAAAATTAAGTTGTACGAAACCAAAATTAACTTGTTAAAAAAAATGGTTTGAAATAGATATAAATTTTTTAAACTTAAAATTTTGTTTTGAAAAACGTTTTTTAGAACGAATTTTTGGTTAGGAGGCCAACCGGTTTGATGACGTAAAGTCGTTTCAAATTAAATCATCTTACCATCCATCCAAATCAACCAACAATTGAGAAAATACCTTTCTTTGAAAAATTAGCTCAGGTATTAACCTAAAAACAGTCAATAACAATTAGACTTTTTTACACCAATTAACACATTTCTCTAAACATTTCATTGATAAACATTTATGAAAAATTTAATTTCTGAAGACTAAATTTTTTCAGGAGAGTAAAGTTATAGCAAAAAAATGATTAAAATCGGAAATAATCAACTTTTTCGCAGAAGTTTTTTTTTATATTCGTTTATTTTGAACGCTTACAGATATATAATTTTTTTTTGCTCAGAACAGTTACATATAATTTCTTTTTAATTTCTAGTTTCAATAAAAAAATTTTATGTACAATTTTTTAAAAAAAAAATTTTAAGTTTTGTAAGTTTTTTAACAATTAAAAAATTTGTTTATCAAGCAAATAAAGACCAGCTAAATCGTGCTTAGAAAAATAAATAAAGTAGTAAAATTTCTCACGATTTCATATGAACAGAATAAAACTTTGTTAAAATACACTGTCCTTTTTATTTTAGTTTCTTTTTTTTTAATATGTCAACGAAAATCCGCTCACTTTGCGTCTCACACACTCCAAGGGTCACTCTGTACAGCTACATACATTAACTATATATAACACAATAAATAAGTAATGCATAGTAACGCATAACTAATGCAAAACTAATAAAAAAAAAGTGCCATTCACCCATTCAATCGAATAGAAAAGCGAAGACGTCAAATGTCCTAGCAGAATTGCACTTGAACACATAGCCACATGAACGCACCCGCACAAACTAACAATTATAGACATAGGTTTTTTATTGTAAAAGTAAATTGGTAATAGTGTTAACAGCAATTCAAGCATTCATATAAACAACGGAAAAATAGTTTTGCATAATCAAATATAACTATTTTGTTAACTTTGGAAGCAACTAAATTGCAAAATAAAAAAGTGTGAATTTTCTCTTTCGAAAGCGCTGTAAACACTATTGGCATGTTTATGTACATTTCTATAAAAAACAAAAATAGCAAGATACCTAAGTACATATGTACATATGTATATGAAAACTTACACTTACGCATATGTTTAAATATATAATTTAGATATATTTTCATTGTCTCTACACAAAAATATATACAAGTATACATAGCACATTCGAAATGTGAGCCAGTTAGCTACTTAGTAATACTTTTTTTTTTTTAATTTACCTACATTTATGTAACTACACAACCCATCTACTAAGGCAACAAACAAACCACTAAACCTGCTAAATATATTTTGCTTTATATACTTACATATGTATACACAAAAAAATACGACATACATATGTAAATACATACAAATGTATATAAGTAGTTTATTGTGTATGAAATACACATTATGGCCGATAGTTAATTGTTTCTGGATACACATAAATACATGTATGTATATATTTCAATACATATGCATATTTACTGTATTGTGTACAAAATTATAAATAAAATGAAAACTAAAAAAAAAATAATAATAATTACAATTATGCATGTGTTAAATATTTGTATGTATTTATTGTATATTGAAACTCAAACTACACTTAAGTAATGCCTTTATATACATATACATACATATACACCTTTAGCTGATTATGTTTGCCTTAGCATTAGACTTTTATATTTAAGTAAGAAAATCAAATAAAGTTATTTAAAATTAAAAAAATTGGGTTGTATTTAGTTTACTATTTCCTCTTCCCAAATCTAAGTCGGAAAAAAATTGGCTAAATTGATAAATTTGATTACAAAATATGGAAAAAAGGTCGGCGGTTGGGAGGGGGTGCCGGCATATATTAAGTATCGTGCCCGAATTTTCTCTTAGCGGCGTTGGGAAAGATGATTGATAGCGAGACTCCAAATTGTTATATGGGTCAGCAAAGATTAGGGTTTCCAGATTCTGAAACAGAGAAAGGAGTACATTCTATTTTCGATAGAAAAAAAAACAGTACAAGCATAAAAAAGGAGTGAAGTTTTTTAAATTTTTTGTGCAATTTATTGTTAGAAATTATCAACCAATATATATATGTATAATCACATACATATTTGAGATCGTTTTCATTAGTTAGGTACAAACAAACAAAGATATCTGAGATATTTTTTTTAAAGCAACAATAAATGTTTAAAATAAATTGCTTAATTCCACAAAAGAATTCCAGACTGCGGCATTTTTTTTAATTTAAGCCTTCTATTAATTTAATATTTTTCTGATTTTTATACCCGAGCGCACTGCACCTACTTGGCTACGATTACGCTTACAACTTTTTACTATCACACTTAACTATGCTTACAAATTTTTAATCCTTATTTGCATTTACCACATTGGGAGATAAGTAGATGTCTTTTTTAGGTGTACTTTTAGACTTTGTATAAAAAAAAAAAAGAAAAAAGAAATTGTATGGGGTTGGTCACCAGATCCGAGTCTATTCGATTGCTGAGGTACCATGACATAAGTCCAAGTGGCATAGCTCCAATGTTAAAATCTGGAATTAGGTCACTTCTTATGCAGTGACAGAAAGCCAATTTTTTTTCTTGGGGTTATGTCACTTCATACAAGGTGTCATAACCCTAATTGGGATAATGTCACTTTTCAGCCTAAAGCATATTTTCCAGCTCTCAAGAGAAACAAAAAAAGAAATTTTCTATTAAACTTTCTTCTGTGCATATATTTCCGCCACTCTTTTCCGGCAACACAGAAAGTAGAATTCTACGCAGTGAGGGTTAACATTATTAAGAGCGTCGCGGAAATGTTGAACAGGAAAGATATCATTGATTTGTACTCACCGGGTATAGAGTAGAGTACATTCACTTTGGCAAGTTTATTGGGAGGATACTAAAGTATTAGTTTTTACTCGATGGGGATATATATCACACCGAATCGTCGCTGTTTACAGAACAATTAGGTTGAATCAAAACTTTGTCTTAAGCTGCCTGGATTTTGGGAGGCAAATATACTATATACTACAAAAAAGTTGTTCCTTAGAAGAATGCATCATTTTTATCTTAAACATTAACTCTCTTATGAAGTTATAATAAAATCCAAATATAATTGGTTTGTTAATTTAGCTATTTTTCTTAACAATAACTAAAATTTTGAGTTATCTTCTTTTAGCTTTATTTCAATGCCCAATTAGCCTTTTCTCTGAATGCATTCTGGCAACACTGAGCTAAGTCAATTTTGGGCGGTTTTTATCTTAGCTAAGTCCGTACGTATCGTAAATATTTTACGAGATATGTCTCATATTAATGAGTTGTTGCATACACCTAGGCGTGCATTTTCGTTGTTGGCAAGAATACCCCGAAAACCAGTGTTGCTGCTAATTTTTACCAATTTTTATATCCGAGCGCACTTGTGCACAAGCGTATTTCACATAACGGTAGACAAATGTATACATAAATGCTCAATATGAAAAAAGATATTGTTTGAGCGGTGACTGCTGTCCGTCCGCCCGTCTGTGCACACGATAATTCGAGTAAAACTTGAGATATCTTAATGAAACTCGGTAAGTGTACTTTCTGGTGTAGGACAAATGGTATTGAAAAATGGGAAAATCAGACAATAACCACGCCTACCTCTCGTGAAAAGGTAGTTTTCAGAAATTGGGAAACTGCAATATTTTAGTAACTCTTGTAACTTATTCACGCAAAATTGGTATTTACAATGATTTTTAGACGAAAAATAAGAATATTATGATTACATGTGTAAAT